TCATAAGGAGGAGGGAGAAAACTTGTTCACCTTAGCCTCTAAGGATAGAACAAGAAGCAATGGGCTTAAACTGCAGCAAGGGAGGTTTAGGTTGGACATTAGGAAAAAGTTCCTAACTGTCGGGATGGTTAAACACTGGAATAAACTGCCTAGGGAGGTTGTGGAATCTCCATCTCTGGAAATATTTAAGAGTAGGTTAGATAAATGTCTATCCAGGATGGTCTAGACAGTATTTGGTCCTGCCATGAGGGCAGGGGACTGGACTCGATGACCTCTCAAGGTCCCTTCCAGTCCTAGAATCTAGAATCTATGAGGCAAAGATGTTAAGAATAACAAACAAACAAACAAGGATTAGATATTTTGTATAAGAGGGAATATCCTCTTCAGTGATGGTAGCTGGGATAAATTGATGAGGAACCTTATGCTTCAGGGCATAAGTTGGGGTCAGGAAGGAATTTCACCCCAGGGGATAATATTAAACATTTAGGTGCACTGAGAGTTATTAAGCTGCCTTCTGAAGTATTTGGCATTGGTCACTATCAGAGACAGGACACCAGATTAGATGGATCATTGTCTGAACAAAGCAGCAGCAGATAGGGTACTGGATGAAGTACACAACTGGTCTGATCTGTTGGAGGTGCACACCAGACTTATGTGAACCATAGGCCTATTATGGTTCTGCAAGTCTTATGTGCACGATAGAAGGGTATCAAAGCCAGTACAGGGAAAATATACAGCCCCAGTCAAACCCACTGTGGAGGAGAAATTCTTTTATAACTGTCCGTTTCCCCTTCCCCCCTCCAACCATAACCCTGATTCTATATAAGAATCTGTTTCTGGTGCATTCTGCATGTGACATTCTGGATTCTGAACCCTTCAAATGCTCCACTGACCTTTTTCTGGATCTTCTGGTTCATGCCACAGCTGCTGGAGGATGCAGGGAAAGTCCATGTGTGTGATGATCCATTACACCGCCCTAGATTCATTGGGATTCTTGTTGAGTAGGACTGACAGCTCTAGCAAGAGCCAGGAGAGTGTGGGCAGGCAGTGGACAAGCTTCACCCCCAACGGCTCAACATGCATCTCATTTCTGATCTGCAGCACCTCCTGCAACTCCAGTCCTAAGCTCCCACACATGCAGCTCTGCCAGTGCACCTCTAGGCTCACCCTGCTATCTCAGTCCAGGCCCCGCTTTTCCAAGGAGGGAATATTCAGATGGGGTTGATCCCTGTTATGGGGTTGGTTTGTTTTTGGAGGGAGATCCCATCTCTGGTAGCTCAGAACTCCCCCAAAGAGTTTGGCTGTAGGCGAACACCAGGATTCATCGCAAGGCTTCTCTTTCCCAGGACGTTCCTCATATGACTGTCAGAGACATCAGGGACAGTCGCCTCTTGGGCAGGGTGTTTGGGCTGGAGTCAGGAACACTGGGAGCCCTTTTCTCATGCCAGGCGTTGGGCACAATCTGTTCAGTACTAGAGCCAGACAGGACTCAGTTTTCCTGTACTGCAAAAAGAATTCAAAACTCCTTCCTGTTCCGCATTGAGACAGAGCCCTTTAGTGAAAAAGGCACACGCAGAGAACAGCAGCCAATTGCCCAGTGGTTAGGGCACTCATTGGAGATGTGGGAAACCCAACTTCCAATTCCTGCTCTTTCTGACTGGAACCCAGCTCTCCTGCCTCCAAGGTGAGTGCTCTAAGCCCCAGGCGTGTGGCTCTCCTGGGGTGGGGTTGTCTCTCTCTCTCTGCCCAGAGAGTCCCTCCCAGACGCGAGAACCTGTCTCAACTCAAGTTAGTGGAAACTGGCCCTTTCCTGTGGAAAAAAAAGAAAAAGGTCCATTGAAAAATTCCTGACCAGCACAATTCAGAACCCTGTTATTACTTAGCCAGTACATCACAAATTCCTAGCTAGAGCAGAAAGGTAAAATGCTGGGCTGGGCGGCCACCTGACATATTTTGCAGGTGTGGGGAATCTTCACCAAACACCCAGTTAAGTCCTGCTTGGTGCCTGCAGCACTCTCCCGCTGCAGGCAGTGTTTTCGGCTGGGGGCAGGTGTGGTGAAGCTTGGGTTGAAGTCAGCAGGGGCCATGATGAACTATATACAGGCCTGGGTGCTCTAGGGTCCAAGAGGAGAGACACTTCTGTTGGTAGCAAGTCCCTTTGGCCTTGGCTACACTTGCAGCTGTACAGCGCTGTGAGGTAAACCTGTATTCGTACAGCTGAGTAGGGAAAAGCGCTGCAGTCTGTCCACACTGACAACTGCCACCGCAGTGACGTGGCCACACTTGTAACATTTGCAGCTGTGTTGGGAGCGGTGCATTATGGGCAGCTATCCCAGCATTCATGTGGCTGCAACGTGCTTTTCAAAACGGGAGGGTGGGGTGGATTGTGACAGGGAGTGTTCGGGGAGAGAGAGTGCTTTCTGGAGCGTGTCAGCTCTCTATTTTGCAAGTTCCGAACTCCCGGCCCCCTGCTCTTTCATTTACTCACTCAAAGCAAGCTGCAAACTGTTTGCTTTTCTCTGTGGTATGAACTTTGAAACCGGCACTTCTGCATTCCTGCAGCCGGTCACAACAATGGAGAGGATTGGCCACTTGACAAGGTGATTAGTACAGCACTGCAAGCGTTTACACTCACACCCGTGAGTTGTAGCCACTCCGCTGCAGCTGTTATTCCTCTCGGAGATGTGGAGTACCTGCAGCAGTGTACCCAGGGAGATACAGTGCTGCAAGTGCCCTGCCAGTGTGGATGGGGAGTGAGTTACAGCGCTGGGGGAGGCTTTACAGCGCTTTAACTCGCAAGTGTAGCCAAGGCCTTTGACTCTGAAAGGCTCCTAACCCCGTATGGGGAAATCTCCGTATCACGATGTGACTCGCTGTGCAGACGGGGGTGGGAGTGGGGAATAGAGCATTGAGAACCCTGCAGCAGCAACTTGCCCAGCTGCTGGGGCACAGAGTCACTGAGCAACCCCCTATGGCTGACCCGGGAGCTCCAACCAGCTGCAGGCTGGGAAGCTGCTTGAAGGCAGCAAATAGGAGTGAATTGCGAAGTCGGTCAGGACAGACTCCGTCAGGCTCTCGTGGGTGAGATTGGCTCCCCACCTGTTCTGTTTGCTCTGCCCCAGTCGCCTATGCAGGCAGGGCCCATTAGCTGCTGGAACAGAGACGCAATCTCCTCAGCAGTCGCTTCCTGCAGTCTGCCCTGCAGAAGCAGCAGGACGTAGACTCCGAGGCCTCTGTTAACATCTCTCTCCTCTCTCCCCACCATTCCCCTCTGCTCTGATGGTGCTCAGGACGTGGAGATCCGGACCAATGCTGCTGCTTACCTACCTCAGATCAACCAGCTCCTCAACAATGTGCCCCGCCAGATGCTGCTGCTGCTGAAGACCAATGATCTGCTAAGGGGGATTGAGTCAGCCCTGCACACACGGGCCAGTGCCAGCTCTTTCCTCAACATGTCTCGCTGCTGCATTAGAGCCGTCTCCACGTGAGTCCCTGTGTCTCTGAGACAGGAGCCCCAACCCCCACTGGGCTCCTCCTGTCTCTTGTCCCCTAGTCAGAGTCTGCAAAGATGGTGGCTCTGGAACTTCTAAAACTGCCCTGTCTTACCTGAACCTTTCCCCTCATTAGCATGTCTGTCAAGGCCTCGCCCCCTTTTTTCTTTCTCAATCTCATCTTCTTTCTCCCCCATCCTACCCCAGCCCCCCACCCCCGGGTCTCCATAGGGAATGAGCTCTCAGCAGGAACTTGGAGCCAGACAGAACTGGGAACAGGGTGGGAGCTGGGAACAGTGGGGATTTTTGTACTAAATTTTTGATTCTGGGATCATAATTTCCCCCAGATCTGATTAATGTCCCCACCAGAAACAGCTGATGGAAAAAGAACCCAAACTTCACAGCTGCCTGTCTCACAGCATGGCCTTGTGGTTAGGGGGTGTGGCTCCTGGGTTCTATACCTGGTTCTGACTTTGACTTGCTCTTTGATTGGCGGCCAGTCACCTCATTTTTCTGTGCCTCAGTTTCCTCATCTGCCCAGTAGGGATAATAATTCTGTGTCTGCCTCATGAGGGCATCGTGAGGCTCCATTAACTTGTGTTACTGGAGAGGGGCCCAGTACTATGTTTACAAGAGCCAGGAGAGTCAGGAGTGCCCAGTTCTATTCCTGGCCCTGCCACTGACCTATTGTGTGACTTCAGGCAAATTGCTTAACTTCTCAGTGCTGCATGTTCCCCAGCACTGTTGAGAGCCTTAGATGAGAGGTCCTGGAGCAGTGCAGTGTTAGCAGTGATGGTTCTCTATAAGGACCAGTCGAATGTTGTGTTGTTTAGGGATCTGATTACATAAACACAAACCATGTGGTGAGTGCTTATCATTAACTATTATTATTGATAATTATAGTTAGCACCTGGATAGCCCCCTGCAACGTCAAACACTCTGACTAATGGAATAATGTCCCTGGGAGGGGGGAAGGGAAGTGTTATCGCCCCACTGTCCAGATGGGTAGATTGAGGCATAGAACAGGGAAGGCCAAGACAAGTCAGCACCAGCTGTGGAAACAGAAACCTGGAGTTCTGAACTCCTGATCTCAAGCTCATTGCACTTGCACAGTCTTTCTCCTCTCTCCCATTTTTGCTGGGAGGGACCGTTCCTCTCTGGGGAACATTTAATCCAGGAAACCCTGAGCCTACCAGCCAACTGGGATCCCTCAGAGGTGGGGATCCTGGCTGATAATTGGCACCTGAGGGTGGGGGGTAGGGGGACTCCTGGTCTTCAAGATCTAAGATCCAAGATTTACCCTGCTGCTGGGCTGTGTCCTGGGAGATTAATGCAGCTGTTTCTCTCCCTTGCCCAGGTATCAGAGGAGCAAGTCTCACTCCCTGTACAGAAAGGCCAAGATCTCTCTCTTAGAAGCTCTGAGCCTGTGGCAGATCAACTTATATGAACTCTTCCTGCGGCTGAAGGGGTCCCGGCTGGGGAACTGGGTCATTGCTTTCCTGAGCCGGATGCACCATTCTCCGTACTGACAGGAACTGGTGGGAGAAGCCTGGGCAATTATTGCTCGCCTCCATTCTCCGCAGCACACTTGCCTTCCTGACCATTCCTGTCCGTACTCCACAAAGGCTATTGAGACGCTTTTCTTGTAACGCATGGTGCCGGCCTTGGCTGTCAGAGCATAAGCTTCTCTATAGCAGAGAGGGAGGGGAGAGCAGGGGCTCTGGGAGTCAGGACTCCTGAGTTCTATTTTAGCAATGAGAGAGGTGGGAGTATGATCTAGTGGGCAGGGCAGGTGGCCTGGGAGTCTCTCTGTTCCCAGCTCTGGGAAGTACCATTATGGAAACATCCTGTAGACTTGAATAGGAAAGGAGAACTTTTTCTAGCCCCTACCTCTTTTAAACCATCCTATGGCATTTAAGAGAAATGCATCCCTGCCCTAGAATTCTCCAGGATGGTTCAAACCCCCTAGAGAGGAAATCATTCCTTATGGAATCCAATAGGGTTTTCAGTAGTTTGTACAAAATCCTATTGGTTTAATGCCTGTGAAATCGACAGGAATTTTCTCTAAGGGGAGAATGATCTAGTAGCAGGGGACTGTGAGCCAGGACTCCTGGGTACTATTCCCAGCTCTGAGAGGGAGTGGGAACTAATGGTGAGAGCAAGGGTCTGGAAGCCAGGATTTTTCTGGGTTCTGTTCCCAGCTCTGCTATGGAGTCACTGTGTCATTCTGGGCAAGTGCTTTCCTTTCCTCAGTTTTCCCACATGTAACATGGAGGTAATGCTACAAACCCTCCTGAACGGCTCAGGGAGCAGGTGCTGTGGAATCTCATCTGAGAACTCACATCTTGTGGCTGGTGATGTATGTGCGCTGTACTGTACTGTCACACAGGAAAATAAATAGGGTGTCATGTTAGAGTCCTGCAGGGGAGACGTGCATGGCTACCCACCCCTTTCACCCCAGCCCCAGTTTTAGTTTTCACCTTCCCTGAGCATGACTTGACACTCTGTACTGTTAGTCCCTTACAAACCCAATCAACTGCTGCTCCGTTCTCTCCACGACCTCTCCCCCGTCTGACGGATATGGTCCAGCTCAAGGTCAGCTGCTGTTGAGTCAGGCATGCGTTGCCGTGGGGGTGATGGCGCCTGCCTGGATGACTCACCACTCTTACCCCACACATTCACACACAGCTAGTTCCCCCTCCGGCCCCCCAGCCACGGGAACATGCTGCCAGAGCCAGCACTGCCATAGCATTAAACGTGGAGCGGCTCGGCTCGGCTCAGAACTGCTTGTGATGTTGTGCAGCTCCTGGCTCAAATGGAAACCTGTCACTTGCTCGGTGTATGGGCCTGATCGCTCTGAGCCCACAACCAGGACACAAGCCCCAGAAAGCCTTGCGCAGAAGCCTCACTTCTGCCACGTGTCGCCAGGCTCTCCTCCCACATGCCTGCTCTCTGTGGAGCTTCCTGAAAACAGAAGTGATGGACAGAGGCTCAGTGTGGTCAGACTTGTGGGGTCCTCCCCATACTGCGAGCACAGGCTGAAGAGGGGATGCTGGGAAACAAACTGCACATGGGGTCATGGAAAGGGATGGGCCTGTCAGGCCGCCCCATGGACCATCTCTGCAAGGGGTGCCTACCCCACTGGGCACAAAGGGGTGTGTTTCAGAAGCTTGCACTGTCAACAGGTTTGACTGAGAGAGGTTCTTGTCAGCACGGGAGAGCAAGGCCTGGGGAGGGGCTGCTTGTGAAAGAGAATGGCTTCCTGGTTGGTATCACTCTGAAAGCCCAGTCATGGAGCATGTTTGTACACATGAGAGGGAATGCGTGTATGACTGCTGGGGAGTGTCAACCTGTGACACAGGGCGTGTGGAAATCTGTCACTGGGTGAGGGAGAGAATGTATGCAAGTCGGAAGCATACCCAGGGAGTGCGCGTGATTGTGTCTGTGATTGTGAAAGTATCTGTGAATATTGTGCATGTGCATCTGGCTGGTTACTACAAAGATGTTTGTTAGATGCAGTGTGTCTGGTAGGTTAAATTGCAAATGCTGGAGAGAGAGAGAGAGAGAGTGTGTGTGTGTGTGTGTGTGTGTTTCTTACCAACTGCAATCTAAATCTCAACCCCTCCCTCACATCCAGGCCAACCCCCCTGCCTGTTCTCATTAGCCTGTCAGGTGGTAACTAGGTTGCCTAGGGTCATAGCTGACGGGAGGAGCAGGAACAAGATGCTGAGCTCGCCCTACGTGTGTAAGGAGAACCAGTTAGAGCAAGAAGCCTTGTCAAACCTTTCCCCACCATTCTAGCCCAGTTCAGAGATGCACCCAGGCCAAACCTCTGAAAGGTCTGGGTTTCACTGTCACTTGAATTCTCCTGCAAACTAGCCTATGATAATTTTAGTGATGGGAGCCTGAGTCAGCAAGGAGCTATGGAAGCCCTTGGCAATCGATCCTGCAGCCCTTACGTGAGAGAGTCTTGCTCACGCAAATAGTCTCACTGAGGTCCATGCAATTACTTATGTGATTGCAGCTTGTTGGACAGACCAGCTGGGTTATGAAGAAATAGCTGTGGGCCTATCCTACTCCCTTCCCTTGCAAGGAACTGAAAATCACACAGTGAAGTCTAGTGAAACCTGTGCTTGTGGTGACCTATTGAACAGGGCATGTTCTAGTAGCCCCTGCAGCTCCTTCACACTAACCATTCTAAACACACCCATCTCAGTAACGTCTGGGCTCCACCTGTGAGGTGTAGGTCAGCTTCAGTCCCCCCATTTTCCAGAGGGCGAGCAGATTCTGTGAGATGGTGCAACTTCCCCAAAGTCATAGCTGACATTTGTAGCAGAAGATGGGACCACACCCCATGCTCTACATATACCAACCCTGTGCCTTCACCACACCAGTATCCATCCTCTCCGCTGCTAATGGCATGCCTGAGCAGCCCCTGCTATAAAGGCCAAAGAGAACCAGCAGCCCTTTCAGGTGTCGTTACTGACAGGTTGTGGTCAGCAAAGAGCAGGTTCTGTTTCATGGAGCTTTGCCTATTGCCACCCATCCCTACTGAGCAGGGAGAGTGGCTGCTTTTTAGCAAGGTTTGTAGGGCAAGGCCTCGGCAGCGTGGTTTTCATCCAGCCCTTCTCATCAAACTGAAGGAGAACTTTGTCAGAGAAGGGTGTGAACCGAAAGCTCAGGGGCCAGCCCTGTGATGTTCCTCTGCTGTCTGTATCTCTGCTTAAAACTCTCACACCTAAACCTGCAAAAATGGCTTTCAAAGGGGCCTCCTTCTTGTTGTCCCAATTTGTGGCTGTTGGGTGGTGGCAGCTCTGCCTCCCCTTTCTGTGGTCTGGAATGATCTCTCATCCTCCCCAGAAAAAACAGCCTCCCTCCCCGCAGCAGGCCTCCATGCAGTTTCCCTCTCTGGGTTATATTTCAAGGGAACAGACATTTCTTTTTGATAGTTCCTTATTTCTGTCCTAGCTCCCTCTGCTGGCTGTATGGCAGCACAACACAACCCAAGGCCAGAGGCAATGTATGCACCCGGCCAGGGTCCTGTGTGCCGCAGGGACTAACCTATGCGTGGAAGTGGACTCCAGAGTCTGGTACTACTTTATAGGGACGCTTACTGGGGCACTGAAGTTTGATCTGGAGCCAAACAGGAGCAGAGTGACTGTGATGGGTCTGTCCCACCTCCTATAATATTAAATGCCGTCCTATATTTCTATAGGACCTCCTATCCTAGTGATTATCAAAGCCCTTTACAAACTGCATGCTGTAGCGACAGGCAGGCAGCGGCGGCACCAGCGCACCAAGCACGTGCCTGGGGTGGTAAGCCACGGGGGACGCCCTGCTGGTCTCTGCGAGGGAGGCTGTCAGGCAGTCTTTGGCAGTTTGCCTGCGGGAGGTCTGCTGATCCCGCGGATTCGGCGGCAATTCAGCGGTGGGTACGAAGGCAGCCTGCCTGCCATGTTTGGGGTGGCAAAACAGCTAGAACTGCCCCTGGTGACAGGAATCATTTCATCCACACTGAAATCTAGCCACCTCTGGGGTGAAGTGAGGCAGCTGTTTAACAACTCCACCACATAGCCTGAGAGTATAGGACATGAAGTGAAACAGAATCCCATATCCAGCTGAAATAGCACAGAGAATCCAGGAAGGAAGAAAAACATTTATGGAGAGAGAATTTAGCCAAGTTTTAACCAAGTGCTCTGTGTAGCACAACTGCCCCAGCACCATGAGGGGGGTGGGGGTATTGGGGTCAATGCTCTTTCAGCCCTCATCACCACCTCAGGCCACTCCCAGCAATGGAACCACTCAATAGCATCAATCCCCCCCAATATCACCAACCCCCCACCCTCAAGCAGAACCCCCAATATCAGTGCACCCCATCATCGTCCCCCCAAATCAATTATTGCCATCTCCCTTCCCATCTCTTGGGAGGGCTCTTCTGCTGCTGTACCTGTACCTTTGCCAGCCCTGGAAGGGGCAGTGGGCAGGGCTGCTGGGCTCCAGGAGGTAAATGGGAGGGGGGTTCAGACCTGGGCCAAAGGAGAGAGGCTGCACGGTCTGGGCTCCCCTCATTCTCCATGGTGAGTCTGCACCAGGGAGAGTGACAGCCAGGGGAGCCCAGACCAGAGCTCCCACCAGGGCAGCCACCTCCTCCTACCCTCTGCTCCCTGGATGGAGGGCACCCCCGATCCTGCTCCAGCTCCTTGCTGCAGCCAGGTAGCAGAGACTGTGTAGGGCTGCTCCAAACATGAAAGGGGGCCTTCTGTGGGTCAGCCCACCAGCCGGGGACTGAATAGGGCACCAAGTGCAGTCACACCTGCCCTGCCCTAGGACCAGTTCTGGACCAAGTAATGTTCACATGGGGCGATGGAGGGAAGTCCAGCTAATTCTCTCCATGTCCAAAGGCAAAGACAGAACACACACAAATGGCACAGCAGTGATGCACATGAATGTTCGAGTGGGAGGTGGGGAGCCATGCTCTGTATGGATGGGATTACTTTGCCCTGCTGGACATACCACACCAGTGGCAGCGCTGGTCTGCCTCAGCTGCAAGCTGTACCCAGCCCTATGAGCCATCCAGATGCAATGTGGTTACCAAGTTTGAGTCACTCTCCTGGGCAAATCTGTGTCTAATGGGGGCTCCAGAGCCTGCAGCATCCTGAACTAACCAAGTGGTGACGGGAAGTAGGAGCAGGCAGAGGGACCGTAATCTGAGCAGACAGAGCTGGCTTCATCCCCAGGGGCCAGTACGGGACTGTGAGTATGGGCAACAGGCTGGCTTTAGATCTCGTAAACAGGGAAGCATCCACCCCAAAGAGCCAGGTCCTCCCCTGGCTCCCGCAGGCCTAGCCTCTGGGCACTATTGCTTTAGGAGCACAGAGGCGCTTCTCCAGGAGTCCTGCAAAATCCGTCACACTGCCTTTCTGAAAGCTCTGTGATGTACTTTCAGCATCCTCCAGGCAATGCTTGCAATTGTAGCCCAAGCCCGGCGTTATCCTGCAGATCACTGTCAGACAGCCCACTGCCTTAAAGAAGCTGCAACGTCTCTTTCGGAGCTGGATGTTAGTGCTTCAGCACAGTTCAGAAGGGGATTTGGTCCTTGTTGTGGGGTGCTGGCCTCCAGCATACCACCTTGTGGCCCTGTGGGTGCATTGCACTCAGAATCTCTCCCCCTCCCACCCACCCCCAGTTCTTCCAGTCCCTTACTCCAACTCGTCTGGTTCAAAACAGGTACTCTTGTCATGGCATCTGATTTGTGTCTTTCTGTAATACGTAACTCGCTTTGTTAGTCACCTCATTCACCCCCATCTTGGGCCGCATCGGAGTCCTAGTCAGCTGTCTTGTCCTGGTCCCCTTCCTGGAACTGGGACTGTACTTCAAATGGTCACACTCTCAAAACAGGAGTCCCAAGATATCCTCCTGGAACAGATAATACTTCAGTGAAAAAGGCACCTGCTCTGTCCTTAATGCAGGTGCCCAGCCCTCCTCCTGGAGCTGGGTAATTCAGGCAGTTATTACTGCCCTCCTTAAGCCAGGAGTCCCCAGCTCCCCTCCATGGAGCTGGGTTGTAATTTAGCCTGCTGTAGGGCCTTACCCAGCTTCTCTCTCAGCTGGCCCCTTTTCCCCAATTCATCCTCGGGCTCAGCGAGTTCAGCGGGCAGCCTTCTACTGGCATCTCCCCTGCTATGAGGAGGAGGCAGGATATATACTGGTTCCCCTCTTTACAGCTCATCCTACTTGGTTGGGTGAGAGGCGAGCCTTGCCCTGCCCAAGTCTCCTGCCCCAGAGTCCTTAAAGAATCAGTGATGGGATTTCCTCCCTAACCATCCCAGGACTGCTTCCTCTCTGTCAGTATCACCTAGGTCCTTGTATGAAAACATCAGACCTTTCAACAGACCACGGTGGGCTGAACCCTATGTATACTATCCTTATGGGACATACTATCCCGTCACACTCCTCTGTGTGAGTGAACATGGGTGGGGTGGTGGAGCTGGCTCTGGTGAAATGTGCTGCTGTGGTAGAGCTTGACAGGAACTGTTTAGGCAGCAATGGGAAAGCCCCTCCCACACTGTCCCACCAATATGTCTTTAGTCTCTCTGTTAACACTTTTAACAGAAGAGCTAATTGGTGCCTGTTGTCACGTGGCCTAAGAAATTAAAAGGAACAGTCAGAAAGGTGAAATGCCTGCAAACTACATGGAGACTATTAAAAAAAGCCATAATAGAGGCTCAAACTAAATGTCTACCCCCAAAATAAAAAAAAGTAATGAGGACCAAAAAATGCCACTATGGCTAAACGATAGAGTAAAAGTGACAAAAAGGCATCCTTTAAAAATTGGAAGTCAAAGCCTACTGCGGAAAACAGAAAGGCGCATACCTCTGTCAAGTCAAGTGTAAAAGTGTAACGAGGCTGGCCAAAAATCAGAATTTGAAGAGCAACTAGCTAAGGAGACAAAAACTAACAGCAGAACTTTTTAAAAGTACATCAGAAGCAGGAAACCGGCCAGTCAGTGGGGCCACTGGATGATCAAGGTGCTAAAGGAGCACACCAGGAAGATGGGGCCGTTGTGGAGAAGCTGAATCAATTCTTTGAATCGGTCTTCACTGCAGAGGCTATGGGAGAGATCCTCGCATATTGCTTTTAGGTGACAAATTGGAGGAACTATCCCAGACAGAGGTGTCAATAAAGGAGGTTTTGGAACAAATTGATAATTGAAACAGCAATAAGTCACTAAGGCCAGATGGTATTCACCCAAGAGTTCTGAAGGAACTCAGATATGAAGTTGCAGAGCTACTGACTCTGGTATGTAAACTACTGCTTAAATCTGCCTCTGAACCAGAGGGCTAATGTAACTCTGATTTAAAAAAAAAAGGCTTCAGAGGCGATCGTGGCAAATCCAAGCCGGTAGGCTTAACTTCAGTGTCAGGCAAATTGGTTGAAACTATAGTAAAAGAACAGAATTATCAGACACATAGATGAACATGTTACATCGGGGAAGAGTCAACACATCTTTTGTAAAGGGAAATTTTGCCTCACCAATCTATTAGGATTCTTTGAGGCTGTCGACAAGCATGTGGACAAGGTGGATATAGTGTGCTTGGGCTTTCAGAAAGGCTTTGACATGTTCCCACACCAAAGGCTCTTAAGCAAAGTAAGGGGTCATGGGATAAAAGGGGAAGGTCTAGTGGATCAGTAAGGGGTTAAAAGATAGAAAACAGAGGATAGTAATAAATGGTCAGTTTTCACAATGGAGAGAGGTAAATAGCGGGGTCCCCCAAGGATGTGTACTGGGACCTATGCTGTGCAACATATTTATAAATGATCTGCAAGAGAGGGGTAAACAGTGAGGTGGCAAAATTACTCAAGATAGTGAAGTCCAAAGCAGACTGAGAAAAGTTACAAAGGACTATCACAATAGTGGATGACTGGGTGACGAAATGACAGATGAAATTCAATGTTGATAAATGCAAAGTAATGTACATTGGAAAACATAATCCCAATTGTACATACAAAATAATGGGGGTCTAAATTAGCTGTTACCACTCAAGAAAGCGATCTTAGAGTCATGTTCTTTGAAAACATCCATTCAATGCACAACAGCAGTCAAAAAAGCTAACAATGTGAGAAACTATTAGGAAAGGGATAGATAAAACAGAAAATATCATAAAACCATTATATAAATTCATGGTTCGCCCGCATTTTGACTATTGGGTGAAGTTTTGGTCACCCAAACTCATAAAAGACATACTAGAATAGGAAAAGGTGCAGAGAAGGGCAATGAAAATGATGGATATGGAACAGCTTCCATATGAGGAGAGATTAAAAAAATGGATTGTTCAGCTTGAAAGAGATGACGAAGGGGGCATATGATAGAGGTCTATATAATCGTGAATGATGTGGAGAAAGTGAATAGGGAAGTGTTATTTACCCTTTCACATAACACAGGAACCAGGGGGTCACCCAATGAAATTAATAACCAGCAGGTCTAAAACAAACAAAAGGAAGTACTTCTTCACACAGTGCACAGCCAACTTGTGGACCTTGTTGCCATGGGATGTTGTAAAGGCCAAAAGTACAACTGGGTTAAAAAAATATTTAGTTCATGGAGGCTATTAGCCAGGGATGCAACCCCATGATCTGGGTGTCCCTAAGCCTCCAAATGCCAGAAACTGGGACTGGACGGCAGCGGATGGATCGCTTAAAAATATCTTGTTTTGTCGATTCACTCTGAAGTATCTGGCACTGGTTACTGTCAGAGAGAGGCTACTAGGCTAGAGGGGCCATTGCTCTGACCTGTATGGCCATTCTTATAAGAACTTACCACTTATCTCACACAAGTAATTGAGCAGATGATAAAATCAGTCTTCAGTGACCTCGTCTGGATTCAAAGCAACAACCTAGAGATGAAAGACTCTGTCATCTCACTGCCACGCCCCTGAGCTGCCCCAGTGACTGCTGGGAAACAATTCAATGCTGAGGCTTTACAGGCCAGCTTGCCTGCTGCACTCCTTTGTATATAGGGTGCTGCAGCCAGTTCACATGAATCGTCTTGCATTGTGCTAGATGAAGTAAACCTGAAAGGGCCAAATGCTTTTTGCTCCATCTAATCCCTAATCCTTTTGCATTAGCTGCTCAAGGTGGTAATTACCATTCTGCCCCTGTCCGCGGCAAGGGGAATTAGCCTTGGCTGATTTGCTGCAATGTTGTACTGTCCGAACCAATAATAACTTTGTTGACATTCCAAACATGAAGCGAAATCTATTTGAAAAGCAGCACGAGGACTTGCAGGCTCTACGCTTTGGCTGATATTAATTTTCCAACACGGGGGCGGGGGGCAGCGCTGGAAAAGAACAACCCTTCCGAGGAGTAAATACCAAACAGCATGCCGCTAAATTGATTTACACATGTTAAAATGTTTCCGCCTCTGGATTTATCTGACTGCTCTTTGTCTGGCTATGAAAGAGGTAAACCTAGATCTTGTATCAGACAAGACGACAGCCGGGGGGACCATGAAAAGGGTTGCCCTTGTAGCTAACGTGCCTTGTGAACATAGTTGTGCCTTTGCGTGTTATTTTCTGAGGCTCTTTGCCGCTCTGGAATTTCAAAGCCTCTTTGCTGTGTTTTTCTGGAGCTTTCATGTGGCTGCTCTCCCATCCCCCCTTCTGTGTGAGTAGTCATAGGTCTTTCAATTTTTTTAACCAGTCAGCAGCAGCTGCCACTCTACCCAGAATGATGAGCTGTCAACTGCAGAGTGACCTGGTTACACAAGCTAGAGAAGCAGAGAGGAATAACCATGTCTGACTCGGCTTCCCAGCTTCTCTGAAACAAGAAAATCTTCCAGGGCTGAGGTAATCCTGGTGCTGCTGGGATGCACAGCTCATCTGCCAGGCATGTATAATCAAGGTCAAGGAGACTGCCTTTCTGCAACTCACTCCTCTTTAGCACGTGTATATGTCTGGGGTGCGGGAGGCTAAGGTGTGCATAAGATAACGATAACCCACTTGTGTGCAGTGTGTCTGCTATCGGTACTGGGCTCCTCTCTTGAGCTGCTCTCTTTAATGGGAGGTGACTAAGTGGGTCATATGCAGATATACAAGTAGGCGTGCGACATACTCTGCATGGCTGTTTGTCACAACTTGTTGTGTTGGGCTCCTCCGAGCTATGCTCCTATCTCATCAGATTCCACTTCACCAAGGCAAGCGGTGCAGTTCCAAGGTAGAATCCCACACAAGGCATTTCATTTAAATAGACAACTCTTAACAGCGCCCCCTACAGGGCACCATTCATCCCGCTCTCTCCTTAATTCAAACACCCAGGAAGATTCATGGGGAAGGGATCTCTTGGCATTTTTCCAGCCTGTGAAGTGCCTACCACACCTATGGCCATGTACAAATTAATAATTATTAATAATACATTTCTGTTTTCCTTGCAGAGAAGTCTTTTATACGATGCATGCTTTATGCTTACAGATACTATATCCCCAATTAAACCAGAGGGTTTCATGATCTTCCTGTGAAAATAACAACACTTGCCCTGTTCAAAGCAAGTACAAATATTATTTAATTAAATCTCACTACTCCCCCACTGCGAAGTGTCACTGTCACCATTTGCAGATGGGGAAACTGAGGCACAGAGAGGTGGCGGTCTAGCTCATCAAAGGTAGTTAGACATTAAGATTGGGACCACCACCCCGGTTTGCCAGTCCAGAGGTACTGCACCCGCCTTCCATGCAACATTGAAGAGGCATGTTATCCACGACACCCCAACATTGTCCAGTGATTTCAACGTCTCGCGTCCACTCCTGCTGCCTTACTACTACAAAGGCACTTTACCACTGTAATGACTTCAACAACAGAACTAGATCCGATCTCACCGGAGGTTTCTGGTACTGCCTCCTGAAGGGAGGGCATATCCCTCCTCAGTTGAGGTCAGCGTTTCACCACCCTTGCTGAGAACAGCTTGGGCAATGTCCCACCGATCCCTCCTAAGGCATCAAATGTTTTGCCAGAACACCTTTGAGGCCGTCCGGTAGTCATTCTCCATGGTCTTTCCAAACTCCTCCCAAGAATGAAGCTTTTGCTTCAACGACTGCCACAGCCACAGCCCTCTTCACCAGCCGGTACCTCTCAGCTGTATCAGGAGTCGGTTTCACGAGCATTTCTTGGAAGGCCTCCTTCTTCGCCTTGACAGCTCCCCTCACCACTGGTGTCCACCAGCGGGTCCTAGGGATGCCACCATGACGGGCACCGAATGTAAAGTGGCAAAAGAGAATCAGGCCCAGGGTGGTAGGGCAGATTTATTTATGAAACACATTTTAAATGTTGCTTGCTTATGTGTCTGGAGTTTTGAGCTCAACATCAATTTAAAGAAAGAAAGAAATGGGTTTATTTGGAGAGTGGCTGCCCAGTGGAGCTGTCTGCTGCGAGGCACTTGGCTCCAGGAAGCTGCGAGCCTCCTGTCAGCTGACTCCTTAATAGCGCCTCTAACTTTAATAAAACGAAGATGGAAGAGATTGCTAAATGGCGGCTAATAAATAAAGCGATGCGAAGGGAGCCTAGTAATATAATATTGCTCTTAAAGGAAATATGAAAAATAGTAATCATGGCCATTGTTATTACTATCTTGTCCTTCAATGTGCCTAAACTATCCATCACACTGATAAGGCTGAAAGAAATACCCAGCGTTTAGCAATACAAGATGCATACTTCACAGCGCGGTTGGTCACAGCAAGCATGTGGCTGCCTTTTCCGCATCCATTCTGTGCCGGAACCTCTTTCACTTTGCTGCCTCCTATGGGTGTCAGATAAATCAACAGTACTGAAGCAGAAAGATCCCACCAGCGTAGCCACCTGCAGGGAAATAGTCATCCTTCATCAGAACAAATGGAACCCTGAGTAGGACAGTAGCAAGGCAACGTGGGCGGGGGATTTATTTTGATGTATCCACATATCTAAAATACACTGCAGTCAGCCATCGGAGCCTGTTGGGGGTGGTGGTGGTGGTAGCCTGTCCTGGTTGAGCCTTGAGTGGGGGAAAGTCCATTGAAAGCATCTTGCCACTGCTAGCTTTGCACAAGATGTTGATGCTCAGTAGTAGAATTTTACTCTGAAGAAATGTTATGTTGCTTAACTTACTATTTTTCAATTATGTTTTTAGATGATGAGCATTAATAAGCACAGAATAATATGAATTAGGGATTGGCAAAATAATCTTAGGTCAGCTACTTCAAGCCTCAGCCTTGTAGTTTTGTTCCCCACAGTGTATTCTCCAGGCCTATGCCCAGTCCAGTTTACATGATTCATGCAAACGAATTTCCACCACTTTTGTGAGGAGACTACTCCACTGACCTGCTGTTATGAATAATATTCCAGGTATTCAGTTTACAGTCAGTGTCTTCTCATGCCTGCTAGTAAGAGCCCCTGGCAAACCCACCCCCACTCCCACGCAGCTCCTCTTTTTCTATTGAGGTCAACTAGGCATCAGCCACTGAGCCAGGTATTCCTAAAT